CACTATACACATCATAATACACTGAGCTACGTCTCTCAACATAAATACATGTATATATACCAGGTGACAAAATAGTATCATAGATCAGGTACATGTACAATTCTGAGATCTTCATTTCCTATTCAAGACTGCTCACTTTCTGTCTTGAGTGGACGGGATCCACTTGCTCTTTCCAGCCCCGTCCTTAGACTTGGCTCTTAAAAGTTCAATGACACCCTCCATTGATCAAATGTACAGTATGTTTTTAATTAAAAATTTAATAATAATACAGTACAAAATTTTGAAAATTAACTCCCACACCCACTCAAAGTAAAACCTTGACTTGAAAAACACCTATTGAAGAAAAATAGCAACAATATACTACTGATATCAATACATATCATACATTGAGGTGGTTTAGTTATTTCATAACTGATGTGACTCCGTATTCCCAAATTAGAAAGAGCTCCAGTTAAAATCCCAGAAGTGAAAGCAACATACTACAAGAACAATAAATATAGTAATACATTACATACTAATGTACACTATGTAGTGTAGAGATTTATGTAAATTAATAATAATATCAATTTAACTAACTCTGGATAGTTCATCGCTGTATTGAGACGAATCAGTTAAGTGAGTTAACAAACGAAAATTATTATCGTAAAGTACAAAGACATCCTAATACATAAAGAAGTCATCATTATTATTGTTATTATTATTATATACTTGGTTGTTTGTTTTTAAGTGGTCAATTTGTTTATTGAACAAGTGAACCCAGAACTGCTTGCAGAGGAATACCATGGCGTCAAGCTCTGTCCTAAAACGAGGGACGTCCCTACAGGACCTCTCCATCATTCTAGCACCTACTCCATAGCCAAGAGCCTCAAGCTTTGAAATGAGCTCTCCCTTTTTATAAAAGAATAATTTTTAAAAGTAATTCATTTCATCAAGTTAGTTTGGTTATTGTATGTGTTACCTGGTCCTCCTTTTCTTTAGAACTGACTAAGTAAGACACCATTTCCATGTGAAGGAATTCAAAAAGAGCCTGACCTACTTCACCTTTGATTTCTGCCTTTTGATCAGTCGCCATTTTAATAAGAGGGTGTGTTTTGGGAGTGGCTAAAACTATTTTATTTAATTTAGCCACGTGGTGACACGTGGGTACTTCACAATAATAATATTTATTTTTGTACAAAAAAAAAAGCTAAAATTACTACGGCAGCATGCTAAAAATGGGATCAAGCATTAGTTAATTAAAGTTTGCTCAAGGAGTGGTTCCCTAGCCTCAGTATAATCCCCTGAACCTGAATCACTAGATCTACATTCATCATATTGACACCTTCTGCGATATTGCCTAGTCTTCCTTTTCAAACCAGGAAAATGCTCCTTGACTCTTCGACACAGAAACAACACGTGATCAACTTTATTTGTCACTAGTAAGATGTGATAAGCAATGATCAGGATGAATACTGCAATAATAGGGTAAACTGCAATTGTAAAGAATGTCACAAGTTGCTTTGGAGAGTGATCATTACTCAAGTAAATATATTGTGAAACCAGAAAAATAACATCAAGTGCAAAGAGTATCATTAGATGCAGCCAGTTGAGTATCTTGTATCTAAAAGGCATTAATTTTGCATGAAGATAAAGCAATATGTGATAAATAAGAAGGACAGCAAGGAAAAGTACTCGACGTTGACTGGAGCTGAAAGTTTCAGACACATAAGTAAACAGAACAAAGAGTTGATGCAGTGCAAACCAATACCACTTGTTTCTTCTATAAGGAGCATGAATTGCTTCATAAAATGGACGAATATATTCCCTGAGTTTGTCAAATTTCAACAGAAATTTTCCCAGCAAGATCACAATGAAATAAGGTATCAGTATTAACCCAGCTACAATTGATGTTACTATCATTAACCATATATGACTCTCACTATTGTATGCTATGGTGCCATTGTTATACCATACAATTTTGGGTACATCAACACCTTCTGTGTAAATTTTTGCTGAGCTGAAGACTTCAAGAACCGATTGAAGAAGTTTAGTGAATGAAAGATGAACAATAGTGATCAAAACTTGAATTGATGAATGAGAGAAACGATTTGATATTGTAACTGAGTAACGGCTCAGTATAATAAGGAGGCCAACAATAAGGATAAGGTAAACAGGAAATAGCAAGCTTAGTCCAGCTTTCAATATCTCAGTCATTCCATTGAAAAAACAAAGTGAAAAGCCAAGGTTTAAATTTAGCCATGATATGAATACACTTGAAAATCTAATAAGATATAATAATTCATTGGTACATTCAATGCATGGTATATTTAAGTAATGCATGATACCAATATTAGTAATTTGTGCATAGAATATAATACCATTGAGTGTACCAGTTGTCAGAGTTAGTTTGAGTGCACACAGAAGCAAAACAAGAAGAGGACCAGCTATTAAATAAAGAATAATTGTGAATGGAAAAAAATGACTTGAGCAGTCCTTGCACTCAGTAGAACCAAACACTACACTGTAATTAGGAATACATTCACTGCATGCATCTCCAGTTCTATAGCCATAACACAGTGGTCGATATACTGTTGAGTTGGTTGAACCAAGATATGAACCTGATGAGGTAAGATGTATCAAATTAAGCTGATACCCAATGTTACAGTGAGAAGGATGACAGTAAGCAATAGAGAATTTATTGCTTTTGGTTGAATTTCCCATCCATACATTCAAATCACCAGGTTTAATAAATGTGTTATTTTCAATGTCACATGTTATTTCTTTATCCAAATTTGTTAAAAGATCAGAGCACACACAAATTCCAGTTCTACTTAATTTAAAACCAAGTGGACAAGTTTTCATTTTGACACGTAGCTCCTCAACTTTGTTTTTTTGTGAAATGCCGAACTGAAGCATGCTAAATTGAAGGATTGACTCTTTATCCAGTGTTGTAACATCAGTTGTTTGTATTTTTAAATATACTGTTGTACAGTTCTTTGTTCCTTTGATGATAAATGGTCCCTGATAATTTGAAAAGTTCCAGTTTAATTTCTTTAAAAAATTCCCCTTCTCAACAGCTAATACAGTTACAATTTTGTATGTCAAGCTACCATTTCGATCAGTCACATTAACTGGTATTCGTATTGAGGATCCTGGAAAAATTTCAAGTGGTATGGTGTTATTCATACAAAGGTGCATGGACTTAGCTTTAGAAGCTACGTCACCTGGAAAAATATTCTTGAACATTGTATTGTACATTTTGACAATCACACCATGCTTGGGAAATGAAAATTTTTTAAAGTAACATTCATAAAGGTTTGGTGAGTATATAGAGTTCCCAGCTAATGCAGCTTTATTATTACTAAAAGTTAAACTAATGTTATTGTAGTCGTCACAGGAATTCAATTGAAATGTGCATTTTGCTTGTTTAAAATTTTCATTCATCATTGAATAGATGGCTCCTCCAAGAGACCGAACTGTGTTATTAGTGAAATTAGCTCTTAGACCTTTCTTGAGAAAAATTACACTGTCTCCTGTAAGCAAAAATGCTGCACCATGATCTGCAATATTATCCTTAAATGACAGGTGCCCATTAAGCACTACATATGACTTCAATAATTCAAATACAGAACCATAGTTGCATGAAAAGTTGCCAGGTTCAGCTAAAGTTCCATTAATAACGACATCAATAATATTATCAAAATGAAACAAACTGACAGGATTGAAAATATCATTTATCTCCCTTGCAGTCAGATTTGGATTGTGGTTTGCAACTATTGAGTCCAATAATATAGTCAAATATTTAGATCTACTTTCTTTGGGGAAAGTATTTGAAACAACATACAAGCATGTTCCAAATTTTGAAGATGTGTTAAGTTCAAAATGAAGTTTAGAAAACAAAATAGCAACTGCACCTTCTGGTTCAGAGCCATTAACATCTTTATATACTGCCACTTCTATTGCTCCTGACGTCCATTTAACACCATGACTATATCCATTACCTTTAACTTTTGAAGTGGTAATAACTAATGGGCTGTATTGTTTTGTCAAAATTCTTTGGCCAAAGAATAATGTTGCAGCTAGTGCACCTCCATTACATTCATTTAGTACAAAATTGTTTTCAAAATAAGAGCCATCAATTATTGTCTTTGAATCAATAGATGAATTGAAACTGAGAATCAATATTGCTCCAGCAAAATACTCATTGTTGAAAGTGAAAGAGCTATTTAGAATTCTGACAATGGCAGGAGAAGTATCACTTTGTGTGAATAGTATTGTAAGAGCTGCACCATTGACAACAGGCATATTGAATAGTTCCCGGTGCATTTTTGCAGCACAAGAATAATTAGTAAATTGATAGGAGTATTTGAATGAATTTTTATGAAAAGCGGAATTAGTAATATTTACTCGATATTGAGTTGGAGAATCTATAATTCCTCTTGTGATACGATCAAACAAAAGGAGTAACAATCCTCTACCAATTTCAAAATCAGTTTTTTGTGAGTAACTGTAACTAACCTCAAGATAATCAAACACAGCATAAGGAAGATTAACTGCTATTATGGCAAAACCACTGTACTTCATGATAGTGACATTGCTAACAGTAATACTAGCAATATCAGTGAATACTAATACAGCAGCATGATACTTAGTAAAATGAATAGAAGAAGTTGTAGAATTAATGATGTTGATGTCACAATCTAATGTAGTGAGATTAGTACCACAGTTAGTGAAATGGAGTCCTCTCATTGTCAGTGATCCATTGGTGCCATAGAATGCAAATCCTCTTGTCCAGTACTTGTCACTAGATGTACAACTAATGACAGCAAATGAATCATTGGAGTCACTTGTAATAGTGAGAGAATAGTGATTCATATTAACTGGACAGAAAACACCATTAGACCTGATCTGGTGAGTAATGCTGGTGTCAAGGTGAAGGGAAAGATCACCAGTTAATATTTTAGTTTCATTACATAAAATTCCTTCCAGTTGATGGCTAGTGTTAACAAAGACAGTAGCAGGAACCAAAGGCAAAGCAAAAAAGAAGAGCACAAATAGATACATGCTTGTAGGTAGCATTTAAAAAATACTCAACCTGGAAGTGTGAAGTTGTGAACAAAAAATCATTGCTTTATATAAAGCCACTCCAATTGAATTTGTAGTTTCTCCTATAATGACAGCTTCATTAATTATTGCAATATAAATTGATGTCTATAGTATATGAATAAATATATAATTAACTGCTCATCAGGCGTCAGCCGGGAAAAGTAAAAAATCTATTGAAATGGCTGAAAGTATACATTTTGGCTAAACTGAAAGTAAAGTAAATGAATCAATGTATAAGAATTGAAAGTAAAAGTAAATTATTCCATTCAATGTAAATAATAGTTTTGGAAAGCTATTTAGCTGTTTAAAAACAAATGTGTGGATTACTATCGTAGTGTTTCAATATCAACAATCATCTAATGTAAACTGAGTGTTTCTCGATCATAGCAAACAAAAGATGAATTCAAAATACATGCATTTCATTTTATATCAAAATTGGGCATGAGATGCATAAATGACTTAATAGGCAGTACAATCATTTCTGTACTAAACTAATATGATAAAATAAATACAATAACAGGATTTCAAAAGTATAACCGTGGCATACTACAGTTTTGAGAAAGCACTTTAATTCACCCAATAAGAGCAGAATCTGTTCTACAAATATCCATTGTAATGTATTTTATTAGAAGATAGTCTTTATATATTAATGAGATATGCATCCTTATCAGAGCCTGAAATAACAGTTGGACATTGAACATTTTTCGACCATTTTGCTCATTGTCAAACCAAATTCTGTGCTGTTCTACCACAAAGCATGCCAAGTGAGCATGCTTCATGAACTACATTGTGCATATACAATAGTATAGAGTATACATGCAATTTGAAGTAACTTTTTTAATTCATTACAAAATCTAAATTTTATTGGAATCAACTCAAGCCTTTTACACAGCATGAGAACATGTATATGCATCAGGAAAATTATAAAAATTAAAAATTCTCTACTTTCATTTTTGACAAAATTTGACCAAAAACTGGCCCAATTTTTGAGCAATTTTAAAAATTTATAAAAATCCATATTTGA